TTTTATGAATGCACGTTTTTAATACAAGTATTCTACGTCCATGCTTTCTGTATTCGCGTGGTCACGTGATGTTTGTTTTTGTTTTCTTAAAGGACGCTGGAGCGTGCGGTGTCATTTTTTAACATTCCACGAACATTACTGTTGCCTTACGACATACTGACAAGCGAATGGATAAACACCCCAAAATGAGAGCTAAGAAGACGTTCAGAAACGATGAAAAGGGCTCAACAACTGATGAACCGGTACCAAAACGTGCCAAAACAGACGAAAATTGTATTTGGAAGAAACCCGGTCCCGCTGTCAAAGCTCAACGAGTCAGTGAACCAACTGAAGTTAACCGCTTGACAACTCACAGACAAGATCAGCCACAAGATGAAGGTTTTAACTCGAGCAACAGGTCATTAACAGAAGAGCTTGGGGTTAAACAGGACAACGCCGACTGGGTTACATTTCCACTTTACTCTTCAGGTCAAACTTCAATGGCGCTAACCACTGATAACGCAATTTCTCAGGGTTTCTCAGTTAAAGACACGCCGCAGTCATTTAACGGCAATTTGTCCAGTGAGGCGCCTTTCCCAAAAATAACCTATCAGCCAATCAGCGAGACTTATTTTCCGATAGCAACCCATCAGCCAATCAGCGCGGCGTCTGTAATAAACCGCGAGCCAATCTGCGAGGCTTCTGTGCAGGTCAATACCCGAGGTCTGAACTTCACTCAGCCGCCTTCTGGAGCAGGTAGGGTTGAAGGCTTTGTGTTCTGGAGTAGAACTTGCAAAAACGCTTCTACTTTACATTTCAAAAATATTTGAAATATGAATTTTAAAGTATAACTATTAAGATAAATGGTATATTTGCATATTATTAAAAGGTTCAAGGTTCATTAGACCAAAATAGTGAAGATAGCTTCAGAGCAAAAAGCAAAATGATCGATTCAGTGACAATTCCATTCCTTCCTAAGAACTTTTTTTTTAAAACTATATCAGTATTTATATACATGACACAAGACATTTCCTTGTTTCATTGTCTCTGTGAGCAGAAAGTGAGGTGGCAAGATCTCAGAACAAAACAGTTTCTATCAAAAGGCCCATGAATGCCTTCATCTTATGGTCAAAGATCCACCGACCCGCCTTGTCTAAGGCCAACCCATACGCCAGCAACTGCGACATCAGTGTTCAGCTAGGGTTAGAATGGCACAAACTGTCTGAAGAGCAGAAGAAGCCATACTACGAAGAAGCTCGCAGAATCATGGCACAACACATGGAGAAGTACCCAGGTAAGCTATGGACAAAGACATTAAAGAGCATATGCAGAATCTCAAAGTTGAAAGGTAGGCACTTTTTATTAAATGTCTTATTCTCATCAACACAGATTGGGTCTATCAGCCATGCAGAGTGAAAAAGAAGCATTCCGCATCCAGAAGGCCACCGGTCGTCCCTGCGACCCAAGTCTCCACACCCTTCATTCTGACATGGGCACAGAGACCTAACCCTTACCCAGAGCCCCTAACATCAGCGAGAGGGCAGAACAGTCTAAATTCTCCAGGTTCTGCTACTTATTTATATAGCTTATGCCTTGAATATTTCAGGTTCATTACAAATTAATTTCAACATTTGCTACGTAACGTTGTTTACCACAAAAAAAACAAACAATCGACTCATCCATTTTCTTTTAAAGGGGTCATATGATGTTGCTAAAAAGAACATT